CTCCGAGGTAGCAGAAGGAGATCTCTGCCATCAGAGACAATAAAGTGCTTGGGAAGTGGTTTTTGATGGCAGCTAGTGACAAGGACAGTCAGAAGCTAGTAGAACAGGTAGAAGACGGGCTGAAGAGTAGACGAGCAAGCTACTGCGAGTTCAAGGCTGGTTTGTAATAGGATGCCTTAATACAAGGCTGTTGGCATGATGCTGTATGGGTCCCAGCTCAACATGAAGCTTAGAGAGATCACGCGCATCTTCGCAGTGGTTGGAATCTCACCAGTTTCTCCAGTGTTGGATGTATGGGAACCAACAACTACAACTCCCCTATCTTCCTGGGTAGAAGAATCAAGAGGGCGACAGACAGACTGGTGTACCTAAGAGAAATCCGAGATTAGCAGATCCGGGAAGCGGGATAGTTAGCGTAATGGAGAAGTGGTCGCGCAGAGACTGGTCGCCAGGCGGAGAGTCTCTCATGGCACAAGGACATGTCGGTGGTAAGGCTGTCGGCGACAGGTATTGGTGAATAAAATCGCTATGGGCAAGCAAAGACTGAGAGGCGAGCCTGATAAGTCAGAAGTAGGAAGGAAGAGGAGAAAGAGATCAGGCCGAGGGTAGAGTTGGGTGCGCGGGTGCATGGACAACGTGGGAACTTATGGAGAGAAGCTGACCTGGGAAGACTCTGGAAGTATGAACACTTCGTCTATCCTTCTCTCAGGTCGTTCCATGACCTGATGCATGCTCCAGTAACTAGTGAGGATGGGGATATAGACCAACATGCGTCTGTGCAGAAACAGGCCACTCTGGGAAGATGTTTTCTCCTGTCACAGCACTGGCCAGGCGATATCGGTGCTGGGACAACGAAACGTCATCAGAGAGTTGGAGGATTGGCTGGAGGGGGAGAAGAAGAGGCACGCAGAAGTAATGCACAGGCAGGCCCCATCATGACTTTGTGGACGGGTGAAACTGCGAAGAAGAAGCTTCAAGAAGAAATCGGATCAATTGAACGGCGCACGGTGGAATATGTCGTCCAGATCTGGAAGAAGTTGTGTTCCGGGTATCGTCCAGACAGTTGAGACGAAGAATTGTTTACTGTGTGAGACAGGGAGAAGCTCGTTGTCATGAGTTGAGTATTGGGAGACGAGATGTGAAGAGGCTATGAGAGGAGAAGGCAAGTACATGAACTACTTGAGCAGTGCCGACCCCGAGGTTGGCGACTTGGCTATTCCATGCGGTAGGCGCTAGAGGGTTTTTGTGGCAATCTGTATGTAGATTGAATGTACAGGTGTTGGCACAACTGGCGAGAGGGGGGCAATACAGAAGCTGAGTCGGCTGCTGAGCGGGGTCTAGCTGGTTGTTGGCTACGACGCGAGGAGGACAGCTGGATGCGATTAACTCACAGTCACGTAGAAAGTGGGCCAGCGCATTAAGGATGTATTGGATAGGGCGAACATGTGGCGGGCACAGCTGACGATGGCGGGAGATCGCGTCGAGAACAGATCCAGCAGGGTGCCGTTTAGAGTGTTTATCCACATTGATCATCTGGTTAACCAGTGATTCTAGGAAGACTGGATGGCAAAGGAATAGTTGGTGAACTGGGGACTAGTTGAGCCAGGACAGATGACGGGGATAGGGGTAGCATCCGAGTGTCAGGTCTTACGTGAGAAGACCCCCAGAAGCTAAGACTCACTAATGAAAGACCTCAGAGTCTTCCGGAGGGGGGGTAGGATGAAAGACTCCATGGACGGATTTTATGGAATAGACAACGGTGGCTATCGACTACGACTAGACAGGGACAGTAACTTGCCCTTGTGGCAAAGTCTGCAACTAACGAGGGTTAGCATTCACCAGTGGAAGTTTGGTTGCAGGCGCGTGAGGCATTTGAGAGCGATGCGTATGGCTAGTGAGAGCCCGGAGTATCGCGTCAGGAGCCGTACAAGTACTCGATGAACTTGCTAGAGCGCGCACGATGCAGGGGATCCAATGATGGATGAAGACGACCTCTAGAGCTACTGAATTTATACTCGCAGGACACTAGAGCGCTGAACCAAGAGCAAGAAGGCCGTCTGGACCGACAGCCAATGCCTACAAGAACCAGATCAAGGTGGCAGGGCATCTGAGAATGGCAATGGGAACAGTTTGAAGAAGGAATATCGAAATATCTTCGAATATTCCATTGCAAGGTCAGTTAAAAACGAGAAGTTAACCCATTTCCAACCGCTTGTATATCTGTTGCAGGGAGGGGTTTTGGGGATTTGAAGAAACGTAACGCAAGGAGGCTCCAAGCGAGGAGGACCTGATAGAGACTGAGGGAAGAATCAGAATTACCCAGCTGAAAGATATGCAGTAGCGAGATAGTTCGCGTGCAGCGCTTGGGCTGTCCGAACTAGTGACACACTGGACACAGTTGAAGTCTTGCGTGGCGAGCTGAGACGAAAGGAGAAAGCGAGGGGCGAATAGTAAGAGAGCTGCGTTCACAGCAACCTAAATTTGCCAAAGATCCTGTTGACAAAGAGGTTCAGGAACATTAGATGACGACTTTGAAGAGGTTGAGAAGTACGGTGCATGATAGCATTCAGATGTAACAGAGAAGAGCCTAGGATGTTGGGATAGATCTGCTTCATGCCAGAGCGCATGGTACATGAACCCATTTGGGAGAGGTGAAGGAGTGTAAGAAAGGCTCGATGGGGCTCTACTCCTGGTGCTGTAACGCATCCGTAAAGTGTCAAGATGTGCCACTCTACTGAAGAGGCTGGACTCCTCAGGTTGGTTTTGGAGGAAAGCGGGAGTACAGAGCTGGAGGAAGCCAGAGGGATATTCAGGGGCCAGGAAAGGAACTCAAGACCAGTCTCAGTTCGGGACCATTGCTACTAAATGTTGGAGGGAGATATTTTGGTATCCCTGCAGAAGCTTACCTCTTTGCTGACGAGCAAGGTACTGCGACTTAGTCAGAAGGGTGGAGTAATCTGTTTTCGTTGTGTAGAGCAGACCTAGCGCTATACCAACTAATTCAAGAGGGCGAAGAGCGGGGAAGGAAAGACTTGAAGTAGATTTGGGCTCGATCTTGCCAACGCATACGGATTTTCCTATAGTGATCTTACAGCTCCAGATACAGTGAAACCATGTCCGAAAATCAATCACCAGCTAACTTGCCGGCTGATCAAGTTGGTTTTCTTGTTGGTGGACAGCTGAGAAGTGGCGAGTTGAGAAGGTTTAGTCACCGGATGTATTTTTCTGTGGTATCTTTTCGTCATGGGGATGATGTGCTGCTCAATGCTGCGCATTGTAGAGACCGCGGTCCAAAGACGATCAGGTATTACCCTGCCATAAGCGGGTTTTATTTGTGCTACGTTGACGGAAAACACGTCGGTAGATGGATGTTGAGACTGGGAGGTCGGCGTCTGGGCGGAATGAAATTCAGGGCTCGTAAGTAGGTCTCATTATCTGAAAGGCAAGACGGACAGACAGATTCGTGATCCGAGTACAGAACAAGCAGAGGAGGATCCATCATCAAAGACGCATAAAGTGCCTTGGGAGTGGGTTTGATTGCAGCCTGTAGAACAAGGACAGTCAAGAAGCTAGGAACGCGGTGGAGCGGGTGAAGAAGATGACGGAGACCCTACGTGGGAAGTTAGGCTGGTTGGTACCAGCATGCTTTATAGCAGGTGATGCTGGCAATGCTGCTGTATGGGTTACTGTCGCTACATAGAAAGCTTAGGAGATCACCAGCCGATCTTCGCAAGTGGCTTGGATCCACGCAGTTTTCAGTGTTGGACTGTCTGGGAAAAAAGAACTACAACTCATATTTAATGGTAAGAAGAATTCGACGGCGAGACAAGGATTGGTGCTTACTAAGAGACTCCCAGATGAGTCAGATCGGGAAGCGAGGGATGTTACCGTATGGAAGAACGTGGTACGAAGGAGACTGTCAGCAGGCGGAGAGCTCTTCATGGCACAAGGACAATCGTCGGTTACGGTGTTCGGAAGACAAGGTTATTGGTGACGAAATCTATGGAGCAGCAACGAGACTGGAGGCGAGCCCCTGATAACGTCCAAGAAGTAGGAAGGAGAGGAGAACAGAGACAGGCCGAGGGTACGAGATTGGGTGGGGCAGGTGCATGGACAACGTGGGAAACCATGGAAAGGAAGCTGATAGGGAAGAATTGAAGTATGACACTTCGTCTATCCTTCTCTAGGTTGGTTCTGACTGTCTGCGATTCGTCCAGCTAACTTGGCGGAATGGGGACTTTACAGGACCAATGCAGTGTGAAGAAACAGGCATATGGAAAATGTTTTTTTCTGCTCCAAGTACTGACGCAGGGAGTATCGTTGGGAACGACAACGTTCGGAGGTTGCGTGATTGGCTGGAAGGGGGAAGAAGAACGACGCGAAGTAATCACAGCAGGGCACATTTCACTTTGTGAGACCGGGTGACACTGGAAGTACAGAAGGCTTCACAGAAGATGATTTGGGACGGCGGCAAGGATGGATTGTGTCGATCTAGAAGAGCTTGGTGTTCCCCGGTATGTCGCGACCATGAGCAGACATTGTAGTGGTGGTCGAGACAGGGAGAAGCTCGTTGTCATCGAGTTGAAGTATTGGTGAGACGTAGAATGTGGAGGGCTATGCGAGGCGCGGCAAGTTCAACTGAATACTTGAGCAGTGGCGGACTAAAAGAGGTTGGCGGACTTGGTATTCGCATCGGAAGTAGGGCGTAGAGGGTTGTGGGCAATTGGTTGTATGATTGATGAAAGCTGTGGAAACATGGCAGAGACAGGCCGGGCATCCCGGCTGAGTAGGTGCTGAGCGGGGTCCTAGCTGCTTGTGGGTCGACGCGAGAGACAAGCTGGTGCGATCAACTAGACGTAAGAAGAGTGGGCCACCGCATTCAGATGTACTTGGATAGGGCGAAAATCTGGGCGTGAACCAAGATGACGATGGAGGTGCAGTGAGAACTAGACTATAAGAAGGTGCGTTTAAGACTGTATTATCCACACATAAAGCCGATATTTTTTTTTATTTTTGTCCTTTTTTTCAAAAGATTCTTTACTCGTACAATAGCTTATTTTTTGTTAAAAAGAAAACACATTTAGTGTAGAAAACACAATAAATGGTGTTGAACATAAAATATGACAATGCCTCCAGATTTTCATCGGATATAATTTTGATTTAAACAAATTCTAACAGAACAAGACATATATACATTTAAAAAAATGGATTTAAAAAAATAAAGTTCTTTTTTCATTTTGTGTTGCCACGTAATTACCTGCTGACAAATGGTTAAATATTGTCTGGTGATAATAATATTTCAACGGATTATATGATGTCACGTATTTTTATGATTTCACATAGTTATATATGGTGGCGTGATTTAATGTTGATACGTGATAATATGCTGTTATGTGATAATGTCACCAATCCGGTAACTGACAATGTCAATGTCTTACAGCAGATTACAGTCGTAGATAAGATTCTAAAGTTCACACCATTTCTGATGCAAAAACAAACCTTTATAATTACAAAAAAATATCTTTTGAGTACATCATTCCGAACTTTCGGAAATACAGAGATGTTATTTTGATTACTTGTCTTATTTCCTTCGTATCATCATTGATGACGTTCTCAATGCATATAGTTTATCAAACCCATAATGCCAGTGTCCACAAAAATCATCCAAGGCACCGGGAAATTCACATATTGTACCTGGTGCCACATATAATCCATTTAGATTGACACGAGTACAAGAATTATACCACCAGGCTCCATGTCCCTCTACAGCGCAGTTCCTATCTGATGACATGTCGAGATCACGGTCATTAGTTGAAAATGACATTTGATTATTAAAAGCAAATCGTTTTCCTGCATAGGAATAAAAAGACATCATTAATTAGTTCTGACACTGTCATTGTTACATTGCGTCAAGACAGTTTGCATGTTTGGACATGCTCAAAATTTCATAAATCCCCACAATCATACAAAACACCTCATTCGGTTCATCACGGAATGTTATACAATTATAATAATACGTATTTATACATTATGACAAAGCAGGTCCAATATCAGATCAGTAGAATCACAAGTATTTGCAATCATAGACCAGGTTAATTAGTCAGCGACTGAATGTAGAACGTTATGATAAGTTTCATATTATGCACATATACATGTACTGCTTTCTTCACAAATACATTAATATTTTATATCAGGCAAAATATAGCAAATTTTCAAACATGAATTGGTTCTGCTATAAATAAGATAGGAATTACCAATCTGTCTTTTGTTTTTGTAATATGTTTTCTTTTATTTGTTTAAACATGTATAATTTAAGTCACAGTATACCTCAGAAACAATAAATTAGAAAAGAATAATGGTTACAAAACATGTTAGATGATTGTATTCTGACGAAAGTAGCGATAAATGTGAAATTATTTGTCATAGACGTAGACACAAAATATTCAGATGAAACAGATGGTTCATGTTGTCAGTCAATGACTCGTGTTTTGAAAAAAAAAAGCTTTTGAGAAACAAAAATAAAAAACAATGTGTCTTTATAACTGTATAATATACATAACATGACGACTCAAATAGCCGTGAGAGATTCTGTTTACGAGTCTAAATTTGTCTATGAAAAAATTGAATTTGTTTTTGCTCATACTGTAACTGCTGTCAACGCTTGCTTTTAATTGGTTTTAGGGCTGTTGTGCTTTTATTTAGCTTATTCAATAAAAATTAAATTAACAAAATATGTTAAAAAGGAAGACAAAAGCTGTAATATCAGCATAAATATTTCACCTGTCAAACCTGTGCATGACCCAATGTTTAGTTTATAATTATTTCCTTCTGTTAATTTAAAGTCTTGACAAGTTTCATGTCCTGTTGTACTATCATTTCTTGCCATGTCAAGACGAATCTCTGTAGAACCTTGTTCAGCTAGTTCTTTTATATACTGTAAACCTGCGGAAATATACCAAATGTAAATATAAATATTTAAAATTTTTCCAAGATCTTAAGTAGAATTCAGTCTTCACCCTTCATACCCCAAAATAACAAACCGTTACAATCATAATAACATTGCGTTCTATTTATAGACATTTAAACCCACTGGGTTGACTAATGCATTAAACTTCAACAGATATAGCTTATCATTACACTTCAACAACTTAATATGTGTATAAATACACTTCAACAACTTAATATGTTTATCAATACACTTAAACAACTTAATATGTTTATCAATACACTTAAACAACTTAATATGTTTATCAATACACTTCAACAATTTATATATTAAGCAATGCATTCCGGTTAATAAGAAATATTCTTAGTGTATCCACTTATAAAACAATTTGTTTACTGTAAGCAAACTATTTGTTCCATGTTAAAGAAATCTATCTTCATGTTACGTTTGCAACAAAGGGTGTTTTATTTAATTGCGGTGTTGTTGTACCTTATGTACTACCCAATAACGTTTTGTTTTAAAATGCCAATGCTGCAAGGAATAAAATATTTTTTTATACCTAGCCACAACTCTCCATCAACGTTCCCAAAGCCTTTCTCATATTCTGTAAAGTTGCGATAAAAGTCCACTGACCCGTCCATTCGCCTATGAAATATCTAGAAGAAACGCAAACAAGTTGAGCTCTTACGAATTATGTACATAACTATTGCTTTAAATATTAAACTCAATTTGTTTAACGTAAGTCTTATATAGCTAAGGCCTGCAGGTCAATTGATAGAACGGACTAAAATGCTTATTCTTAAATTTGCAATTTGGAATGAACCTTTTCTACTTCTAATCATTAACCTGCCCTATAACAATTGACTCATTGACTCCAACGTCAAATACGTGGTTGTAAAAATTACTTCAAGCTTTACAGTAGATGTTGAAATTATATTTTGATAATTTCGCAATGAGATGATAAAATATAATTTACCCAACACCGGACTATATTTGAATGCGGATGAAAAGAATGTATCATACGTTATTGGAAATATCGGCAGATATATACTCTTTCCATAGTGTATTTATACGGGAATTAAAGTCTGTGTAATTTTACAGAGAAAGTATGCCTGAATATTGGAGTAAAATGAAATTTGATATTGGCATCTATTTCGTATCATTTGACTGGTTGTTCATACTGCACAACAGAACAGCACATCATGATTTAAATAAATGTTAAAATGGAAATGTTTTTAGAATCTATAGTAAATATATTTCAACAATTTATTACGTGAGTATGTGAACCAGGAAAGAACAATTTGCTTATCAAACATATAAGAATCAACATACCGTCCAACCGCCGCCATCTGTTTTCATGTCACAATTCACAGTCAGAATCTTACCAGATGTCCAAAGTTCTATCTCATATTGTCCACTTTTCGCCTCAGGAAACTCATCAAGGACTTTTTTACAATCACTTGGTACTACGCAAAGAACAAAAAAAGTATTTGTGTCAGGAATGAATGATTCACCAAATAATATCATAAATTGTGTAAATAAAAACGAAAAAAGTGACGTTTATCTTTTATATACGTGTGTCATACTGTTTGCACATAGTTGGTAAATCTTACCATGTCTAAGATCTTTGATGACGTAATACGATATGTATAAAAGGTCTGATCTTAGAATTTTATGCGCAATTAGTCAAAGGCTTTTAAGCATAAAGTTCCTTATTTTTCATGACATTTTCCTTTCCAGAATATTAACTAAATGTATTTAGTAAATGTGCAATGCATGATGCAACTTTGCTCTAAAAGTATACATACATGTAAATTAATGTAATGTCTTCAAAGACTATTATAATTGTCTCAAAGACATTATCCACTATATCCTCTATTTTTCTGTTTATATACAATAACATTAAGATAATAAAAAGCGCATTTATTTTCAGCCAAAGTAAATGTTTTGAAGCCATCTCGCCAGTATGGCAACTTTTATTCTAGTCATGGCTAATTTAGATGAAGTATTAAGACAAGAAAAGAACAGCAATATTTAAATACGTTACATTTACATGTTGCAAGCTGCCATTTTCCTGAAGCCTCACATTTCACCTCTTGTTGACTAGGAACATAACCAATGTCACATTTTACTAGAGCTACGTCGAGGAACTTGTTTGCGACAGGCGCACTAATCTGTACTTTACCATTTTCAATTTTCTGATCAAAAGCACACACTGGAAAAAAAAAAAATAATAATAATAATAAGGTATTGTCTAAACAATAGTAAATACTTTACAAATAAAAAAGACCCATTTCTGAATGATCATCGATTCACGTGCAAATTGTGATAAAGTATACTACGCTAAATGAATAATGTTTTTGATTTTTTCTATTATTTTGTTATTGCTTCGTTTTTTTATCTTATTTGTTTAATTTAAGAGACTTCACTGAAGTTTAATGACATAACCTGACTGGAAATAATTTTTCGAGATTAATTTCTGTTTGATCTAGGTCTAGATTTATAACTTGTGTGCAAAATTTCAGAATAATCGCTTACTTCTATTTTCTATAATGATTATTGCAATTGTGAAAACGACCCAAAACAAGACTGAAAAGCGTTGCAATGCTTTTCACTCAAGTCAGGCTAAGAATAGCACAAAAATACGAGTTTTACCTTATTTCTGATTATAATTGTTAACTATTATTTGTATGTCTTTCTGTTTTAAGTGTTCCAGTTGATCTACATAAGAAATTCAAATTTTATGGTTTTTTTTAGACTTTTGGACATCAGTGTAGTTCCTTTAATACGCAAACGTATCAGAAGGGCGGATTAAAAAAAAATCTTGAAAAATTATCCAACATTTTATTCAAAAACAAATAAAAGTGTAAAAATAATGTTAAAATAGAAGTTTTTACATACTTATGTCTTTGCACACATGTGAAGCACCATTTTGGTAACATCTTTGGTTCGCTTTACACGGCCTTGAGCTACAACTTCCAACCATTGCCTGTAAACAGAAAAAAACAATATAAAAATATAAGTTACATTCATTAATTGCTTTGTTAAATTTCAAGAACTATTAAAATGCATATTTTCTAAAAGAGACACACTTTTGTAAGCGCTTTGATTTTATATTAGAGGCAATGAGTGAAAGAGAAACTTTCTAAATAATATTCTTTGCACAATAAAATGTTAGACATGAAAACCTGTAAATAATATTCATATGTTACGATAACGATAATTCTTCAAATAGAATTCAAATGTAAGAATTACTATTTCCCTGTAGTTATTTTTTTTCATTTCCGTTTCCAAAAGTTACACATACATGTATTATTCCAGTGAAGAAATTGAGATACTTGCGCTTGGCCATTCGCTGATATCAGAGAAAATAGAGCCTCTTTTTGTTTCAAACTCCAATGGATCAACGGACGCCTGGTCAACATCGTTTAATTTACACACGTGCTCGTTTCTGTCAAAGTCGAACGATTTACAGACGGACATTGACATACAGGTTCGCGCACAATCGTGATGGTTTTTATCATTAACTTCTAACACAGAATGACCAATCAAGGCTTTATTAAGATTGTCCTTGCTTATTTCAAATGAACTGCATTTGTTTGAGTAAACTGTTCCGAATAGGACAGCGTTAATTATTATAATTCCAGCAGTCAAAACCATTGTATCAAAAGTAAAATATTTTTTGTTATTTGCAACAGCTATATAAAATGAAATCAAACAACGACCGTATCTAAAACACAGAAATGTCCCGTCTTTATGGTATGGTACATATGTGCTATATATACGGGTAAAGCTGGTTAACAGCAAATGTATAAAGCATGTCCTTGTTATTGATCTTTGGTGAATCGTCCAATTAGAAAAAAGTCACTTGTTTCATCTGTTTATAATTCAATAATTGCATAACAACAAAGTATTTGCTTTTGTTTACATATCCAGAACTTTCGCAAACTAATTTATCTTGAAGCATTGATATACGGCCGTGCATAAAATCTAAAAACCGGTGTATCGATGTAGTTTGACACCCACTTATGACAATCAGTCATTACATTTAAAACAATATTGACTCCCCTTTGAGTATCATTTTAAAATATTATGACCTCCCCACACAATAAATAACCCCAACATAGTAGCCATTAGGTACGTTAACGAGATGTCAATTAAGAATTTGTTTTAAAAAATAAATCGGGCAAAATATCTTAAGATTGCTCAACAGAATGCATACCTTATAAGGTAAATTTGATTCTAGAGCTAACTATGGTTCATACACAACAACAACAACAGTGACGACGACAACAAAAGCAACACCAACGATGGCGGCGGCTACGACAACAATCTAAATTTAACATGAATTCACTTTAAATATAATTTCGGGATAATTACATAGAGGATATTTGTTTGTTTGTGTGTAAGATGAAATTTTATTTCATCGAGTGGGCTTTAAAAACAATATTCTCACGAGTGGCGTAGTTCACGAGATGAAATAAAATTACATCTTACACAACACAAACAAACAAATTTTCTTTTTATTTTATGCTTAAAATCAAGTTAAAACAAATTTCCATAATATTAACGTAAATATCAAAATCGGTTTTCCCCATTGAGAGCCCCATTAAGTCGGAATTTCTCAAAAACCAGATGTCTTGAGCCTAAAAAACAGTCCGACAATCAACGTTATATGGCGGTGATATTTTTCATTTTATTAAAAAAATATGAATGATCGCTTGTTCCTTGTTCTAATAATAAAAACAAACAAAAATTCTTGTAGGAAAAAAAGTCCAACCATCCATCCATATTTCTGTAACTTACTGCGAATTTATATTAGACCTGGATTTGTTAAATGTAAGCGGCAGCCATTTTTTAAAGTTGTGTATTTCACGGTGGAAAATAATTGTGTTTTGATTCAGAGAGATATCATTTGGATTTGTTAGTCATACACCTTTTTAAAAGAAAGAAAACTTATTTGAGGATTGTAACAGACAAAAAATAAGTATTGACAGATGTGAAAACATTCAATAAAGCAGCTATGGAAATGGAAACTTGGAAGCTGGCTGAGGAAACGCTGGGTTGTTTTACTTATTCTACGAGGATGGCTGTCATTGCTTTTCAATGTTTTATAAAGCATACGGCAGTAATTGCTTGTAGGATACTTTAATATGCCCAAATGTCAACAAGAGCAGTTTTGCATGTGGAAGGAATGTATTTTTCAGACTGTAAAAATGAAACAAAAAATTTAGAGACGAAATTTGGTGATTGGAATTTGAATGAATAGAAGTAAGTTTTCTTCTTTTTATTACTTTTGACATTTAAGTTATTTATCAATTTCAGCTTTGCTTTTTCTTTAAACAGCCTGATATTGTCAGAATTGTCAGCAAAAATAAAATTGAGGTACCACATGGGGAAAATCTTATAAAAGTAGTTTCGTCATTGAAAAGTGTGAAATTATATTTTGATAATTTTCACTGTGAAATTATCAAATATAATTATATAATTTTCACGGATAATCAGTAATCCACTGAAAAGCATAAAATAAAAAATGTTATTCCATTTTGGAAACGGCAACCTACCGGAAGTTAATATTGATTCTGTGTCTATTGCTATCTATTTTGTATTTCCTGAATAATTTGCATAAAAAGGTAATTATTTTGACTGTAAATTGTACAGTATACCTAAATCGGTCAAAATTAATCGCCCTTTATGATAAATTCATCAAACGATCATGAACGCGCTAAAACGTCCCATTTCGGGAAAAGTACTTTTGCAAAATAACGTATTGGGTTGATGGTAATCGGCAATGAATTCGGAATGGGAACCAAAATGTTACAGATAACTTGTAAACCTATGAAAGACCGGTTCGGACATTTCAACTTCATAAATTCCCTAAGATTTAATATCTTAATTAGCTCCAGCAGGTGAGAAGGTTTGGACCTCTGGATATACTTTAAGTCTGTAACACCCGAGATAAGTCAAAATCATATTTTCTGTTTCGGCGCCAAATGATCTAAATGTAATTTGTGCGCTGCAAAACCAAACCTAACATAAAAAGTGTTAAATATCACATCTATATATTTAAGATGCTTTACCTCATGCGTTGATCTATATACTTAAACGTCGGAGTCAAAGGGGACAAACAAACAATTTATGTTGCTGGGCAAGTTCGATCTATATACCTAAGGCGTCAAACTTAGGTTGCCGATAATGTTCAGAAAGTCGTGTTGATCTATAGAGTCAAAGGGGTAAACAATTAAGGTTGCTGGTCATGTTCGGAAATATATCTGTCGATACTTAAAGCTAGAGATCGGAGTCATTTAAACGATCGTTAACTTCCTGAATTCGTGTATTTGAAATGTCCCCATCGGTCTTTCATAATTCTATTTGATATTTCATACATGTTAAGCAGTATAATATGTCATTTATATCACATGTTGATGACAAACCACTGAATTCCTTTTGCTACGGATAAACAATTTTCTGTTGGTTAAATCTTCTTCAACATTATATGTTCTGACATGCGGTAAAATGAAACTTAC